GTCCAGCCTCCCTCGGGACGGCCGCCGCGGGAGGGGCACCGCCACCCCGCGGAGCGAGCCCCCCTCCCGACAGTGTGCTGGCCCAGGCCTGCCTTCCCAGCTCCCGGAAAACCGCCAACAGAAGAATTGAGGTGCTGGTTGGCCTGGGCAAAAATCAAGACCCTGTTTGAAAATGAAAAGGATGGGAGTATGGCTCAAGCAGTAAAGGGCCCAGGAAGCCCAGGGCCTGGGTTCAAACCCCAGTGCCACCAAGATGGAAGTTAGGAGGAAGGAGAAGAAGAAAGAATTCGTCCAGCTCTATCCTCTCTCTTGAGCATCCTTGTCCTAGAGCACTTGCAGGAAAGGGGTGCAGGGCTCGGAGATTCCCTGGTTAGTACACACCCACACCCTGAGCCAGCCAGGTGTCCTCCAGGACGAGACCAGCCTCAACATGCCATTCTCCCTGTGGCTCCCCCTGGGGAAAGCCACTAATGTGGAATTTTACACAGCTGCTGCTCCCACCAATGTCAGAGCACCCCAGCATCTGAGCAGGTCCCTAAGCCTCTCCTTGTAGGCTGACTGGAAGCTACTGCCCTTGATGCCCCAGCCGCAGACGTGTGTGTGTGTGTGTGTGTGTGTTCGTGCGCACACGCGCGCGCGTGCGTGCTCTTGAATAATCGTGTATGAAATCATGGGGCCTCCCTCCTCAGGCTCTCTTGGGTGGATCGTGTCTGAGGTCACAGGCTCCCTCCTCAGGTTTTCTGAGGCTCTGTGTGTCTGAGGGTCACAGGCTTCTTCCATGAGCCTGCTCTGGCCTCTTGGGTGAGCCGAGTGCACATCCACTGGTCTGAGGCCAAAGGTGTAGCCCTGAGCCTCTGGCTGCTTCTAGGTCCTTGGCACCCCACACTTGAGAGGTAATGCCGTCGTGGGGGGGGGGGCTTCCTCTGCCAGCTTGCAGGAGGGATGAGCTGGGCAGGAGGGGAAGGGATCCGTGAGATGAGACCAGCTGTGGTGCTGAAAAGGAAGGCTGATGGAAGGGGCCCGTGCCCCACACGGAGGCGGCCACCGAGCTGGGGGAGAAGGGTCCCCAAGAGCACACAGGATGGAGGCAGAGGAGGCTCCGTGTGGCAGGAGCAGCACTGTGCCTGTGATGGCTGCAGCATAAACTCACCAGCGGCCTCTCTCCCCAGAGAAGACCAAGCAGCTTCTTTTCCGCGGGGCGCAGGCCTGCAGGGGCCAGACATGGGGTGAGGGCTGTGCCATCGTCCACCTGCCAGAGTCGCCCCAGCCCGGCCCCACGGGGCCCCCTCGGCCTACAAGAGGACAGATGCTGATTGGACCTGACGGCAGGCTGATGAGGTGCTGTGCCCAGGCCTCCGACGCCGGTGAGTGGCAGCCGTAGCCCTGCCTGGCTGTGGGGCTGAGGGTGGGTGGTAGGGAGCAAGGCAGGCTTCTGCCTGAGGGAGCAGAGGCTCTGCTGGAGGCCCGCCAGCTCTCATGCTGTTACCAGTGTGGAGAGGTTCAAAGTCTGTTGCCTGTTGGCTGATCAAAAGTAGCCCCCTGCCGCACCCCTGCGTCTGGCCCTGAAGGAGCCTAGGAACCTCCTGGTTAGTCAGTGAGGCAGTGCCATGCTGCTGTGCAGCACAACCCTGCACAACAGAGATGCGCAATGTGAACACTGCACGTGACAGGGATGCACAGTGTGAACACTGTGAGAGGGATGCACAGTGTGAACACCATGACAGGGGTGCACAGTGTGAACACTGAGAGGGATGCACAGTGTGAACACTGCACGTGACAGGGATGCGCAGTGTGAACACCGTGACAGGGATGCGCAGTGTGAACACTGCACGTGACAGGGATGCGCAGTGTGAACACTGCACGTGACAGGGACGCGCAGTGTGAACACTGCACGTGACAGGGACGCGCAGTGTGAACACTGCACGTGACAGGGACGCGCAGTGTGAACAGTGCACGTGACAGGGACACGCAGTGTGAACACTGCACGTGACGGACGCGCAGTGTGAACACTGTGACAGGGACGCGCAGTGTGAACACCGTGACAGGGACGCGCAGTGTGAACATTGTATGTGACGGACACGGTTTGAACACCGTGTGACAGACACAGTTTGAATACTGCATGACAGGGGCGCGCATGCTGAACACTGGCAGGGACGCAGTTTGAACGTTGTATGTGACAGGGACGCGGTTTGAACGTTGTATGTGACAGGGACGCGGTTTGAATGTTGTATGTGACAGGGACGCGGTTTGAACGTTGTATGTGACAGGGACGCAGTTTGAACGTTGTATGTGAAAAGGTCCTGCAGTTTTGTGTGACAGGGACATGGTTTGAATGCTGTGTAACAGGGATACGCAGTGTGAACACTGTGTGTAACAGGGACACAGTGTGAACACTGCGTGTGACAGGGACACAGTGTGAACACTGTGCATGACAGGGACACTCAGTTTGAACACTGCATGACAGGGACACTCAGTTTGAACACTGCGTGATGAGGACACGCAGTGTGAACACAGTGTGACGAGGACACGGGGTTTGAACACTGCGTGACGAGGACACGGGGTTTGAACACTGCGTGACGAGGACACGGGGTTTGAACAAGGCCTGTGACGAGGACACAACAGTTTGAACACGGCGCGTGATGAGGACACATGGTTTGAACACGGCGTGTGATGAGGACATACGGTTTGAACACTGATGAGGACACACGGTTTGAACATGGCGTGTGATAAGGACACGCGGCTTGAACACAGCGTGTGACGAGGACACACAGTTTGAACACTGATGAGGACACACGGTTTGAACACGGCGTGTGACGAGGACACGCAGTTTGAGCACAGCATGTGACGACACGCAGTTTGAAAACGGCGTGTGACGAGGACACACAGTTTGAACACTGATGAGGACACGCGGCTTGAACACGGCGTGTGACGAGGACACACGGTTTGAGTGCTGTGTGGTCAGGAGAGCTGGTGGCTCTGGACACCAGCAGCAGCGCTGACCTGGAGTCCAGTCTGGTGCCACCAGGGCCCATGTTGCCGGGTCTCTAGGGCTGAGCTTGGCTGGTAGTTAAAAGGATTCCGGGGTACACGGGGCGGGGGGGGAGGGGTGGTCTCCCAGCCCCTGGGCTCTTGTCACCTTTTCCGGGCTGATGGCCTGTGTCTCCTTACAGACTTGTCCGGAACAGCACCCACCGCCTGTGCCTCGTGTGTGAGAGCCGTGGACGGGAAGGCCGTGTGCAGCCAGTGCGCGCGGGCCGTGTGCAGCCAGTGCGCACGCGCCTGCTGGGGGTGCGGCGCCGTGGCCTGCGCCCTGTGCGGCCTCACAGAGTGAGTGGATCCCACACCCTGCCCCGCTGGGGCGGACGCGCTGACAGACGCGCCTGATGGTGGCCAGCGCGCTCCTTTGCTCCCTAAGGATCCCGCACGCGCAGGCGCACACGCACACACGCTACAGATCCCACTGCCACGAAGGACGGCTCTTGCCGCAAGCACTCTGTGTCTCGGTCCTCTTCCGCCGGGCCGGCCCCTGGCCCCCTCCTAGGAAAGCTGCCGCGCCTCTGCGTGGTGCCCACTGCGGGACCTGCGTGGGCCCGGAGTGCGGAGAGCCTGGGCGCCAGCGGGCGGGGCAGTCCCCACCCCCTGTGCGTGCAGAGCCGCGGCCCCTCCCCCCCACCCCCGTAAGGAAGACCCGGAGTCCCATGCGGAGCCAGCACTGTCACCCCAAACAAGCTCAGGCCCAGTGGTTTCTAGAACCCTGTGACACTGAGGACACAGATCATTTGACACGGCCTTTCCCTGGGGAGGCCAGGAATGCCCTGGAATGGTCTCCGTCCCCGTGGCGGGCATGTGACACCACTGCCGGGTTTAGGCTTGAGTGCTGGATCAGGCACCCAGTGTGGCACCATTTCCACGGTCCTGTACCTTCTCGAGGCGGCGGGGGGGGGGGGGCAGGACCTCGCTCCCCCACGCCCGGCCTCACCCTCCAAAGCCTTCTGCCTGACACCACAGACCACACCAAGACACCACCTGGGCCGCCAGCCCCGCGGTGGGCGTGCTTGGCCGCTCGGGCCCAGCCCAGCAGGTAGCACGAGCCAGGAATGAGGCGGCCCTCCGCTGCTTACACCAGCCTGGTGCCAGGAACCAGGACAGCTGCGGAAAATCTGGCTCAGGTTCTACTGAAGTGAAACTGAGGGCCCCCTGCGCAAGTGGCCCCATGCCGCCCCCCCCCCCCGGCAGCCGCTCTGTCGGAGGTCACGTGAGATGCCTGGCCTCCATTTCCAGCTGTGTCTGGTGTCCCAGCGGCTTCGCCTGGGCAGCGTCTGGGAAGAATTCTCTGTGGATGAGCTGGGCTGTGGCTAGGCAGGAGCCAAAGATGGCTTCAGCAGCGGGACTGGCTTGCAGGCTGGGGCTGGGGGGGTGAGGTCCAAGCGGCTGTCAGCCACAAAAGCCTTCTCAGGCCTCTGGGGCGTCCCTCCCCCCCCCCCCCCCCCCCCCCCCCCGCGGCAGGCATGCGGGCAGCCCAGGCTCTTCTCCAGAGCAACCTCATCCTCCCTGGGCGTCGGCTTGCCCAGCAGGGCAGTGAGGCGGGCTGAGGGCCGGGCACGGCCCAGCCCAGGTCTACCTCCTGAGATGCCCCTAGCAGGAGCCCGCGCCCTGGGGTGAGGACTCCAGCAGACCTGGGGGGGCACTGGCGGACCCTAACGTAGTTTTCGTCTCTTCCCTGGGTGCAGCTCCAGCGACGTCTGCGAGGAAGCGCTGTGCACCAGCTGTGCCATGTTTGATGTGTGAGCGGCTGGGAAGGCAGCTCCACCAGAGGGCGCCCCAGCGCCTGCAGAAGAGGCCGGCGCGGCTTTTCCATGTGTTTTGTAGCTCTGATGACAGAAGGGAGTAAACCTTCCTATTTGCACGGTCGAGCCCCGTCTGTTGACTGACGCACGCAGTCAGCCCAAGAGTCAGGGCGAGGGCTGGCGCGGGAAGGCTTTCAGAGCTTTCCCCGTCCTCTGCTCTGTGCACGAGGAGAAGCAGGGCTGCAGGCAGAGCAGGGCGCCGCTCCTTCCCGACCAGCCCCAGAAAACCCCGGTAAGATAAGAGCGAAAATGTCTCATGTCCAGTAAAAACAAACTGCAGCCGGGCACAGTGATGCACGTCTGTCATCCTGGCTACGGGGAGGTAGCCCTCCACAGGACCTGGTGTGAAACCCCTTGCCAACCAATGAAAAGCCAGGATAGTGGCACAGGCCTGCAGCTCAGACCTGGTGGGAAGCAGAAATGGAAGGGCTGCAGCCTGGGCCGTCCCAGACATAGATACAAAAAATAAAGGAAGGACTGGAGGTGCATCCTCACGGTAGAGAGCCTGCCCGGCAAACCAAGGCCCCCAGGTTCAAGCCCCAGTTCTGCCAAAAACAAACGAAGAAACGGGGAAGTATACCCTACCATGGGAAGCAGCAGAAACAGCTCCAGAAGTGGCAGGTGGCTGAATATTCCAAGCAGACAAGGGCAGCAAAATGGCTGCTGTTCTTTTTTTTAAAATACAGTTTTGATACTAAGGTTGTACAGAGGGTTACCATTCCTTAAGCCACGTGATGAGTGCAGGCCTTGGACAGTGTCACCCCTTTCTTCACTTTCCCCCAGTTACCCTCTCATCCCTTCCCACAAGTTAAGTTCATTTGTTATGCTCAGAAAAAGACAGGAACTACCAGACAGCCACCAGTGCCCGTAGCTCACACCTGCGATCCTAGCAACACAGGAAGCTGAGAATCCAGCCCAGACAAATCCTTAAGACTCCCAGCTAACCAGCAAAACACTGCATGGCTTAAGTGGTAATACACCACCCATGAGAAAAGCCAAGGGACAGCCTAGAGTTCAAGCCCTGGTGCCAACACACCCACACAGACAAGTGCTGGATTCTTGGGGAGCTCATACAGAGTCTCAGGTGGGAAGTGCACCAGGTGGGATTAAAGCAGAGGGAGAAAGCACAGCTAGAAATGCTTAGCAAGCCTGGGCAGAAACAGGAAGGAGACGGGAGCTTCAGTCAGGTTCCTCAAATGCTGCCGGAGAGGGACGAGGGCGCGAAGCTGCAGCGTGGCGGCTGGAGCCGGCAGGCAGCCAGTGTTGAAGACAGCCTAGAAAAGGCCAGGCCGGCCACGAGCTCTCAAACCAAGAGTTTTTGTGAGCTGGAGTTCATCGAACTCTTGGGGAACTGTCCCGGGGCCTCGGCTTTGCCCTCCCTGCGGCCACGGCGTGCCCCCCCCGGCGGGACCCGTGTTGGCCACTGTGGCCACGGCGTGCCCCCCCCGCTCCCGTCCTGCTGCCCCGGGGCCCGTGTTGGCCACTGCGGCCACGGCGTGCCCCCCCCCTTCCTGCCCCGGGGCCCGTGTTGGCCACTGCGGCCACGGCGTGCCCCTCCGCTCCCGTCCTGCTGCCCATGGGACCCGTGGTGGCCATTGCGGCCACGGTGTGCCCCCCCCTCCCGTCCTGCCGCCCCGGGGGCCCGTGGTGGCCACTGCGGCCACGGCGGGCCCCCCCCCTTCCCGTCCTGCCCCGGGGCCCGTGCTGCCATCGTGCTGACGAGGCCCAGCCTGTGCCGCGTGCTCACACCACCTGTTACTCCGTGGGAATGAGTGACGGCCAAAACTAATTTTTTTTAAGTTGGAAAAAGAGAAACTTGGGCACGGTGGCTCTACAATCCCAACACTGCGGGCAGGCAGGAGGGTCTTGAGCTCGAAGCCGCCCAGGGTGGCGGCGGAGACGCGTTGTGTCTCCATGTGTCATGGGACGTGGCCCTCAGGGGGCGGGTGGAGGGGGCGGGGCTCTGGTCTCCAGCACACACAGCTGAGGCCACGGAAGGAAAGCTTGCCAGCATTTCCGGCCAAAGGAAAACGAAGCAGACTGGAACGAACCTGCAGAGACGCTGCCCGCTGCGAACGAGCCCACGCGGGAAGCGCAGGAGCCATCTTCTACTAAGAACCTGTATACACAGCACGGTTCAGAAAGGGGAGAGGGACTCGAATGGACCTTTCTTGGTTCAGGAAGCCACACAGGTGGCCGGAGAGCAGCTGAGACGTTCCACACTGTGACCTCAGGAAATGTGGATGACACACCAATGGGCACCCATAGCATGCTGGCCGCCCAAGCGAAGCAGCGCGGGTACAGGGGACTGGACCCCACCCCACCCATCCCCGTGGGATGGACAGCGATGTGGCCGCTGCACGGCAGGAGGTAGGTCCTTAGAGCACTTGGGGGATGTCCGCAAAGGATAGTGGGACTTGCCTATCAGTCACCCAAAGACTGAAGCACAACCGTCACCCAGGTGCCAGTGGCTCATACCTACAACCCTGGACCGACGGCCAAGGCTGAGATCTGAGGATTACAGTTAGAGGCCAGCCTGGGCAGGAGTGTTTGTAAGACTCTTAGCACCAATTAAGCACCAAAAAAAGCCAGAAGTACAGCTGTAGTTCAAGTGGTAGAGTGCTAGCCTTTAGCCCAAAAACCAAGAGACAGCACTCCGGCCCTGAGTTCAAGTCCCAAGACAGCACGTGCAAAAAAGAAGAGAGTCTCTGTGCTGTAATTCTATGCCAGTGTTTATAGCAGTTCTGGCAGTTCCCAATAACCAAGAAGTGGAAATGACCTAAATGTCTGCTAGGGGGATAAACGGATAGATAGAAACGCGCTATAGGGCTAGCAAGGTGGCTCAGTGGCGGAGGGCTTGCTTAGCACGCATGAAGCCCTGGGTTCCGCGCCTCAGTACCACATACACAGGAAAAAAGCAAGAAGTGGCGCTGTGGCTAAACTGGTAGATGCTAGCCTTGAGCGAAAGAAGCTTAGGGACAGTGCCCAGACCCTGAGTTCAAGCCCCAGGATTGGACAAAAAAACAAAAAAAAAAACGTTATAAACATGAGATGGAATATTATTCAACCTGAAAAGAGCAACTGGGCATGGTGGTTCACACGTGTTCTAGCAGACACACAGGAGACAAAGGTAAAAGATCAGTCTCAGGCCGGCCCCAGGAAAAAATGCAAAACACTATCTTAGAAATTAATGCAACAAGGGCCGGATGCATGGCTCAGGTGGTAGAGTTCCTGCTTAGCACGTGTGCAGCCCTGAATTCAAGTCCCAGTACCAACAAGGAGTCTGCAGCAGCAGACGGACTGCACAGTTGCTGGGTGGTCAATGCAGGGGCCCTCCCTGGAAGAGGCATCCTGGGGAAGGATAGGCCCGGGCCTCACCCCGCGTCAGCACCAGCCACCCACGGCCTTCACCTGCGCTCGGGGAAGGCAAGTGCTAGAGCGGCTTCTGGAGCTTTCCTTTTGCTGGGAAGGCCACAGGGTGGGTGTGGGACACTGGAAGGTGTCCCATCCTGCCCTCTCGGGCTGGCCCTCCAGGGCCCAGGGCCCTGCCCTTCCCATCCGCACCGGCCTTTGCAAGCCAGGCCAGGCCCCCACCCGCGCTGGGGACCTGCCTGCTGGGGCGTGCGTCCAGCTGGGCAGCTGGGAAGGTCAGGCAGGCGACCCTTTCGGGCTCTGCCCACTTGTGATAGGCTACGGGCTAGTGCCGGTGGCTGCGAGTCCGCCCAGACAGCCCCAAGACGAGGCTCAGGAAGCAGCCTGGGCCCCACGGTGCAGACGCAAACCACCCCTGCCCCCACTGCGTGGACACATACCACCCCTGCCCCCTATTGCATGGACACACACCACCCCACCCCCACACTGCGTGGACACCCCACCCCCACACTGCGTGGACGCACCACCCCACCCCCACTGCGTGGACACACACCACCCCTGCCCCCACTGCGTGGACACACACCACCCCTGCCCCCACACTGCGTGGACACACACCACCCCTGCCCCCACACTGCGTGCACACACACCACCCCACCCCCACTGCGTGCACACACACCACCCCGCCCCCACTGCATGGACACACCACCTCGCCCCCACACTGCGTGGACACACCACCCCGCCCCCACACTGCGTGGACACCCCACCCCACCCCCACTGCATGGACACACCACCTCGCCCCCACACTGTGTGGACACACCACCCCACCCCCACACTGCGTGGACACACACCACCCCTCCCCCACACTGCGTGGACTCACCACCCCGCCCCCACTGTGTGCACACACACCACCCCGCCCCCACTGCATGGACACACCACCCCACCCCCACACTGCGTGGACACACCACCCCGCCCCCACTGCGTGGACACCACCCCGCCCCCACTGCGTGGACTCACCACCCCTGCCCTGTTTGGCGGGGCGGGTTCCTGCAGCAATCCTTGCCGCACACATGCTGAGCAACGCTGTGCTTTCCAGAGCCGGTGGAGCCTGAGGGCCGTCCAGGGTCTCCGCGGCCATCGAGGAGGGGAGCTCCCAGTGGGGCTTGCACATTTCCACCTGGGCAGGGGATGGGGGTGGGTGGGGGGTCAGACTGGTGCCTCATTTGTCCAAAATTCTGGAAATTTTCCTCTGAAGGCTTGAAGTCAGGGAGGGCATTCTTCCAGGCAGCCACCAGGTGGCGCCTGCAGCCACAGGTGCAGACCCTGGATCCCAAGCACCCCAGGCTTCCACCAGCCCCCACACACTGGGGCCCGCACAGGAAACGCCTTCAAGGCCCTGTCCTGGGGGGCAGGCCCAGGCATGTCATCCTGCGTGGGGCTCAGGACAGCCTCCTGTGGGTAGCGTCAGGTCCAGAAGAGGCAGCCAGGACATCCCACTTCTCCCAGCCGCGTCCTGACAGGACAGCCAGGAGCCAGGACAGAGGCCGGGCCGCTGGGCTCCTGGGTGGCCCACCCACAGGCTTTGGCCCCCAAACCCACCACCACGGTGGTTAGGCGGAGGGCAGGGGGCCAGGTGTTCCCACATGGCCCCCCCACTACAAAGCCAGCCACGAACTTGAAAAGCTATTTTTATTGAAGAATTTGGAGGGAAAGTTCATTATCATAGTAAAAATGCTGAAGTTGAACGTTGTAAAAAACGGGATGGTGCAACAGTGGCCACAGCATCTGGCCACCAGGGGGCGCAGGCCAGGGCACAGCCAGAAGGAAAGCATCGGAGGACAGTGCGAAGACGCAGTGGTCTCAGGTGGAGGCCCCGGACCTCTGGGGACGAGACGCCCAGGGCCCAGCGTGACACAGGGGAGAGGGCGCTCCCACCACTGGGGACGAGACGCCCAGGGCCCAGCGTGACACAGGGGAAGGGCATTCCCACCACTGGGGACGAGACACCCAGGGCCCAGCGTGACACAGGGGAAAGGGCGCTCCCACCACTCAGAATAAAGTCCCCAAAATGCCTTCGGGCAGCTCAAGCCACAGCGACACAGGCCCTGCCCGGTGCCCAGCCCGACAGGTCTCGTGGTGGGGTGGACTCAGAGGGCATGCGCCTCCGAGGCCAGGCCTGAGGGTGGGCAGCCGTGCCCAGCGGGTGGAGTGCCAGCGGCACACCACTGTGAGGTTGCTCATGGGGCTCCCGGGGACCGGGCTGTGGCGGGGACCCCCGGGGCGGAGGGCTCCGTGGGGAAGGGAGGGGACCCGTGGGGCCCCACGCTGCACATGGCGGCAGAAGTCCTTACGTGAACCTAATTGTTCCGAGGGCCGAGGCCACGTCTGGAGAACTTGGATGAAATAAATTAAGAACAAAACCCGCAGGATCATTTCCCTCCTGACCTGGCCAGGAGGCGGCACGCTGCCCGCCCGCCGCCCTCCCTCCCTCCCACCCCAGATGCTTGGCGAGGAGCTCCGCTGGCTGTCCGGAGGTGTCGGCTGTGCAGGGCCACAGGGCTGCGTGGCCTCTCCCGGGCCTCAGGCTGTGCCGCTGGCCGAGTAGGAGAACTGGGGGAAGTGTGGTCTCCGCTCACTGTCCACACATTCCATGCTGTCATCTGCAGGCAGGAGGCGGCTCAGGCCTGGGCCCGCAGGGCGCCAGCCCTTCCTGCTGGCCCACACTCGCCCTCCGGCCCTCCAGAGGGCGCCTCTCCAAGCCTCTGGAGAGCCCCCCAGAGGGTGGCATTGTGGAGGGGAGCCCCTACCTTGGTCTGGGGGCGTGATGGTGATCATCTGGGCTGTGAACTCCTCGTCAAAATACCTGGTGTCCGTCTCGGACGTGACCTGGGGCTTGAAGGGCGGGCTGAGCTGCAACAGAGGGCGGGAAGGTGCGGGCTGTTGGCCTGCTCAACACAGGCGGGCCCGGGTCCTCAGGAAGGCTGTCCCCAGCCAGGCCTGACCACCCAGGAGACACCGCGGCTGGGGGCCCAGCGCAGCTGCTTGGGCAGGGGGTGCGGCCCGACTCCACAGACTTCCCCCGCAGCAGGGATGGCCCGTCCCCTTCTTCCTGGGTTTCCAAGCGTGTTTTCTCATGGGCAGGAGGGGAGAGGACAGGGGCGGACAGCACAGCAGATGTGAGGCAGGACCCTCAAGCCATCCCCAGGCCTAGCCTGGTGGCTGTGCTGCCACTTGAGTCATGGGTGGACGGGGCCAGAGACAACAGGAAGGTGGGTAGGGACCCGGGCATCGATGCTGCAGGGAGGCTGGAGGAGGCCCAGCCCACCCGGCCTTGTGTGGCTAGCTCTGGACGATCATGGCAGGCTGGACACCAGCAAAGGTAACAGCACAGAACATCAGTCTAATGATGGTTCTGCACCTGGCTGGATCTCCATCAGCCTGGGCCAGGGTTGAAATCCTGGGGTCCCTCAAAGGCAAACAGTGGTAAGTGTATCAGCACAAGGCATATGCAGTGAATGTATGAGCACAGGACCTGTGCAGTGTCTGAGCGCAGGGCCTGTGCAGTGAGCGTCTGAGCGCAGGGCGTGTGCAGTGAGTGTCTGAGCGCAGGGCTTGTGCAGTGAGTGTCTGAGCGCAGGGCATGTGCAGTTGAGCGTCTGAGCGCAGGGCGTGTGCAGTTGAGCGTCTGAGTGCAGGGCGTGTGTAGTGAGTGTCTGAGCGCAGGGCGTGTGCAGTGAGTGTCTGAGCGCAGGGCTTGTGCAGTGAGTGTCTGAGCGCAGGGCGTGTGCAGTTGAGCGTCTGAGCGCAGGGCGTGTGTAGTTGAGCGTCTGAGTGCAGGGCGTGTGTAGTGAGTGTCTGAGTGCAGGGCGTGTGTAGTGAGTGTCTGAGCACAGGGCATGTGCAGTTGAGCGTCTGAGCGCAGGGCGTGTGCAGTTGAGCGTCTGAGCGCAGGGCCTGTGCAGTGAGTGTCTGAGCGCAGGGCGTGTGTAGTGTCTGAGCGCAGGGCCTGTGCAGTGAGTGAGCGCAGGGCGTGTGCAGTGAGCGTCTGAGCACAGGGCCTGTGCAGTGAGTGTCTGAGCGCAGGGCGTGTGTAGTGAGCGTCTGAGCGCAGGGCCTGTGCAGTGAGTGAGCGCAGGGCCTGTGCAGTGAGCGTCTGAGCGCAGGGCCTGTGCAGTGAGTGTCTGAGCGCAGGGCGTGTGCAGTTGAGCGTCTGAGCGCAGGGCGTGTGCAGTTGAGCGTCTGAGCGCAGGGCATGTGCAGTGAGCGTCTGAGCGCAGGGCGTGTGCAGTGAGCGTCTGAGCGCAGGGCCTGTGCAGTGAGTGAGCGCAGGGCGTGTGCAGTGAGCGTCTGAGCGCAGGGCCTGTGCAGTGAGTGTCTGAGCGCAGGGCGTGTGCAGTTGAGCGTCTTAGCGCAGGGCGTGTGCAGTGAGTGAGCGCAGGGCCTGTGCAGTAAGTGTCTGAGCGCAGGGCCTGTGCAGTGAGCGTCTGAGCGCAGGGCCTGTGCAGTGAGTGTCTGAGCGCAGGGCGTGTGCAGTGAGCGTCTGAGCGCAGGACCTGTGCAGTGAGTGTCTGAGCGCAGGGCCTGTGCAGTGAGCGTCTGAGCGCAGGGCCTGTGCAGTGAGTGTCTGAGCGCAGGGCCTGTGCAGTGAGTGTCTGAGCGCAGGGCGTGTGCAGTGAGCGTCTGAGCGCAGGGCCTGTGCAGTGAGTGAGCGCAGGGCCTGTGCAGTGAGTGTCTGAGCGCAGGGCGTGTGCAGTGAGCGTCTGAGCGCAGGGCCTGTGCAGTGTCTGAGCGCAGGGCGTGTGCAGTGAGTGTCTGAGCGCAGGGCCTGTGCAGTGTCTGAGCGCAGGGCCTGTGTAGTGTCTGAGCGCAGGGCGTGTGCAGTGAGTGAGCGCAGGGCCTGTGCAGTGAGTGTCTGAGCGCAGGGACTTGTGTAGTGGGCAGCAGTCCCTTCCTGGTCTCCCCCAAACAGAAAAGCAGCGCTGGCCGGGGCAGGCCGTCCTTGCCCAGGACTGTGGTGGGGGGTGGCGCACAGGGTGAGGCTCCACGGAGGCACTGGGTAGGGGGTGATACTCGGAACTCCACAGGAGGAGGGACAGAAGGAGGCCTGGGCAGCCTTCAGGAGAGCCCTGTGTAGGACCCTTTGCACAGAGAAGACAGGCTCCAACAAAGGCCTCTAGGAGTTGGCATCTACACCAGGCTTTGGTGTATCACTAAGTGCAGGATAAATGTGGGTATAACAAGAGACACCTGTAGCAACCCTGAGAGTGGCATAATTGCACAGAGGAGGGGAGGAGGGTGGGTGTGAGCGCATGGGGAGGGAGGAGGGTAGGTGTGAGTGCAGGGAGGTAGGAGGGTCAGTGTGAGCACATGGGGGAGGGAGGAAGGTGGGTGTGAGCGCACGGGGGAGAGAGGAGTGTCGGTGTGAGCGCACGGGGGAGGGAGGAAGGTCAGTGTGAGCGCACGGGGAGGGAGGAGGGTAGGTGTGAGCGCAGGGAGGGAGGAGGGTCGGTGTGAGTGCACGGGGAGGGAGGAGGGTCGGTGTGAGTGCAGGGAGGGAGAAGGGTCGGTGTGAGCGCACGGGGGAGGGAGGAGGGTCGGTGTGAGCACACGGGGGAGGGAGGAGGGTCGGTGTGAGCGCATGGGGGAGGGAGGAGGGTAGGTGTGAGTGCACAGGGAGGGAGGAGGGTCGGTGTGAGTGCACGGGGAGGGAGGAGGGTCGGTGTGAGTGCAGGGAGGGAGGAGGGTCGGTGTGAGCACACGGGGGAGGGAGGAGGGCCGGTGTGAGCGCATGGGGGAGGGAGGAGGGTCAGTGTGAGTGCAGGGAGGGAGGAGGGTGGGTGCGAGCGCACGGGGGAGAGAGGAGTGTCGGTGTGAGCGCATGGGGGAGGGAGGAGGGTCGGTGTGAGTGCACCGGGGAGGGAGGAGGGTCAGTGTGAGTGCACCGAGGAGGGAGGAGGGTCGGTGTGAGCACATGGGGGAGGGAGGAGGGTCGGTGTGAGTGCACCGGGGAGGGAGGAGGGCCGGTGTGAGCGCATGGGGGAGGGAGGAGGGTCGGTGTGAGCGCATGGGGGAGGGAGGAGGGTCGGTGTGAGCGCACGGGGAGGGAGGAGGGTCAGTGTGAGCACACGGGGAGGGAGGAGGATCGGTGTGAGTGCAGGGAGGGAGGAGGGTGGGTGTACGTGTATGGGAGGGGGAGGATTGGTGTGAGCGCATGGGGGAGGGAGGAGGGTGGGTGTGAGTGCACAGGGGAGGGAGTAGGGTTGGTGTGAGTGTATGGGGAGGGAAGAGGGTCAGTGTGAGCACACGGGGAGGGAGGAGGGTGGGTGTGAGCGCAGGGAGGGAGGAGGGTTGGTGAGCATATGGGGACGGAGGGAGGAGGGAGGGTGGGTGAGACTAGAGCAGCAGTGCACGCTGCACCGCAGGGTGCTGAGGGCAGCAAGGCTGTACCTTCTTCTCGTACACATCCTGCCACACGATGCTGGCGAAGAAGCGGTGCTGCATGATCTCCTTGGCATCCTCAGAGCCTCCTCCGAGCCTGTGGCGGGAACAGTCCAGGGCTCAGCACTGCCCCTCACCAGGTGACAGGCAGCGACCTCGGGGCCTGGGGCTGGGCATGGGTCTGCCTTGGCCACGGGCGGCCTCGGGCAGGCAGAGCAGCGCTGCCCGGCGTGTGGCGGGATGGCCTGACTGGATAGTCCCGGGCCCGGGGGGGGGGGGGGGGCGGCAGGGAGGCAGCCACGGCCCTCACCTCTGCTTGGGGTCCTTCTTGAGCAGCCCTGCCAGGAGGGACTTGGCCTCAGGCCCGAGTGTGCGTGGGAAGCGCAGCTCCTCCATGAGGATGAGCTCGAAGAGCTTCTCGTGGTCCTGGTTGTAGAAGGGCAGCCGGCCGCACATCATCTCGTACATGACCACGCCCAGCCCCCACCAGTCCACCGCCCGGCCGTAGTCATTGTCCTCCAGCACCTGTAGGGGCCTTGACATCACCACGTGCCGGACGTGCGGGGGGCCAGGCGGGACAGGGGGATGTGGGGAGGCCCAGGCGGGATGGGGGGACGTGGGGGGGGGC